GTCTATCTGAAGTGTACCTGGCGTATAAGACGACCCCCCACTTGGAGGCATATTTTTCAGGGCCAAAAAATCGTCTTATATGCCGGCAAATACGGTATATCCAGCCACACCAATCAAGTATGAATATATTTTTGTATTATTCCAGAATTCAAAATATTTTTCATTCACACACTGCTTATGAGGAAATTAATGAGATAGTACAGCATATTAAAAAAAGAACCCAAGAAAGAGGATAACATGAGATATAAGAAACATGGCAGCATTAAAGGGAAGCTACAAAGAAAGTCAAAGAATTTACTACATAGTGATATATGGAAGATTCTCTTCCAGGTGGCAAAATCTTAATAACATAGAATATTTTCTATGTGTCCAAGCCTGCTACTTGGTTATAATATGAATAATATATACATTATCATGAGGTTATCAATGTTCTTTCCTGGTTTTCAATTTTTAAGTCTCAACCTTACACAAGGTACTTACACCTGGATTGTATCACAGGACTGAACATAAATATAGTAACAGTTGACCCTGAAACATAATATCACAGACAAAAACTGGGAAGCACATGGGCAAGAGAAGTGGAGCAGTGTAAGCAGGAGAACGCCCTCATCTTTCAGTGCCAGGATAAACTGATACTGTCTGAGGCTGAGCAAATGTAAAGTAGACGCATTAAACCTTTACTTCAAGTAAAAAGAGCAACAACGAGGAGAAACAATTTGAAAGAAAGTTAAAAAACGTTAACAATATTATGAAGAAATCAGGTGTAGATGAGGAACAGTGGAGATGGTAGGGGTAAGGACATTAAACGCCTTATCTTTCATAGCGGGGACTCAATGGTATCAAGGAAAAAAGGTTGAAATATATTAAAGTTAAAATAGTACTTCCCAGAAGAATTACAAACAGAAACTTGTAACAGTAGTTACTTCTGAGGAATGAAACCGGTGATAAGAAAGGAGATTTTCTCACTTTGTAGCTTTTTGTGGATTGAGTTCTTTTTTAAACTATGTACTGACATTACTTCTATAATTTTTGAAAGGGAAATACGTAGGTAATACAATACTAAGTAAAAAAGCAAGCTGTAGAAATGTACAGACAGCAGTCTAATTTAACCATTAAGGCATACACATCCGTGAGAGACTCGAGAGAGGGAGAACTTTATTTTTCACCATATTTCCTTTTCTTTTTAAATAATAAACTTGGTTGCACTGTCTTCCGAAACTATACCTACTGACAATGGAGAGACAGATGACAGATGCCCAAGAGATCTCTTGTGTCAAGCTAAACACTCAACAGTAGAAAGCTAATCCAAAAGGGTAATAAATGCTTAGCTTTTTTTTCTTTGTTTTTTGTTTTAATTTTCAATTCCCAAATCTGATAAAGGCAAAAAGATATCCTTCTATACTTCATGTGCTCAGCATCCCTTTCATTTCAAGTTATTTGTGAGATCATTGGTAAAAAAACTTTAGAAAAATAAAACTGGATAGCAAAGAAACACAGAATTTAGGTGCTTTCTACTGCGGTCTCCCCACAATTCTCACAAGCTCTACAAGGAAAGCTAATTGTTGAAAATACCTCCAATCCCAGGCAAATGGCAGCTTCCGTAAAGCTTCGTCTTTCTTTCTCAAAATTCTTTTTTTGCTCTTTAAATAGGGACCACTCTTCTTTGAGGCGTTCCTTTTCTTCCAACAAATAACAGTCCCGTAGCAGAGAAGTGGTATCGTCATCACATGCAGTAGCGAGCTGCTGCTATTAGATTTTAAAACACAGTAAGTTCCAGAGGGACCCTGCAACACTCCAACAAGTTGACATGAAACAAGGGAAGAAAGGTCAAACTTTAGGGGATGAACAGAAATTATGAAGAATCAGAAAATCGACTGAGGAGTCTCATTTCCCAAATGCTTCTAAAGTCTAATTGACAAAGCACTGACTGAGAAACGGTATGCGATCTGTCTGTTAGCAAGCAGAGAACTTCAGTTAGATTAGAAGAATGTCAAACACCAGTCTGTCCTTCCCAATCCCTTCACCTTTCTCATCCATCTCCTCAACCCCCCCTCCCATCTAGCAACCATCAGTTTGCTCTGTGCATCTACATGTCTATTTCTGATTTGTTTGTTCGTTTATTCTGTTCTTTATTCCACATATAAAAGACATGGTATTTGTCTTTCTCAGTTCAAATTGGTAGTTACAAAATAGTCATGGGCATGTGAAATACAATGTGGGGAATATAGTCGATAATACTGTAATTGTGTATAGTGTCAGATGGAAACTAGATTAATTGGGGGGGTCCACTTCATAAATTGTATAAATGTCTAATCACTATGCTGTACACCTCCAACTAATATAAAATAATATTGAATGTCAACTATAATTTAAAAAATATATAGTCATAAGCTGTAAAGTACAGCATAGGGAATAGAGTCAACAGTACTGTAATAGCTATGTACAGTGTTAGACGGGTAATAGACTTGGTGGGGTTATCACTTTGTGAGGTGATGTCTAATCACTATGTCGTTTTGTACACCTGAAACTAATAATTTAAAAAAGAAAAATGTCAAATACTATAGATCTTATAGTATATAAGAAGTAAAATGCTAGTAAGGTTCAGTAACATTCTGGTCCTTCTCAGGGGACAATAGTTTTAAAAGATAACTCACATTTACCTGTAAAAGTTGCTGCTGAGTTTTAATCATTTCTTTACACTGCTGAATTTCTAACTCAAGTTTTTCAGTTTCCTGTTCATGGTCTCGTCGTGAGATTACATCTTCATCATTAAAACCTTCTAGGTGTACCTTTGAAACTAACACAAAACCAGTAATTTGACATAAACTCAACAGTCACATTTAGTTTACCGTGTTTTTTGGACATATATTTAAAAATCAAGGCTCTCAGAACTTTTCTCTTTCTGGAATCTCATAAGTTTTCTAGGAGGCAGTTATTTCCTTTGCCCTTTAAAAAGTTCATAAATTATTATAAAATTTATTTATATTATTTTAACGCTTGAAAAGTTTTAAAAAGCAAAGCAACTACATGGAGCTCATGACAACTATAACTTGGCACTCTTTATGGGCTAAATGATACCCTTACAAATAGAGCTCTATTGTCAACATTTAATTTGTAATCCATATTTACTCAAGATTGTGTCCTAATTTAAATGGACAACCTATAGTTACATAAAAGAAAAATAATTAACATTCAAAAACTATGTTCTTTTGACACTTCTTCAAAAATCAGTGCAGTGCTACATTCTTGCTTTCTGGTATTAAATTCAGCCAACATGATGTCCGAACATACTTTCTATTCACTAATAGCAAGATGGCTGAAATCAATAAAATCTTATGTAAATTAATTTGGGCACTAAAATAGTTTTGCTGATTGCTCTTTACTGTTGAAGACAATTGGGACTGAGTTTGTTAATTCTGACAATTAAGAATAATTTTTTTTTAAATAGACTTCATTTATTGAGCAGAAACTTAATTTTCTTGATTTAAAAGAATATAAACTTCTGACAAATATAAAATATTACACGTATGTTCATGAATGCAAATCTATCTATCCTATCTATAATGACAGGAAAATGTATCTAAAATAATACACTATTGAGTGTAAAAAAAGTACAGAAAAAAATATGCAACATACAATTTGTTTTTTTCTAATATATTTTTAAATAAATATTTTAAACATACAAAGAGAAAAATCTAAAAAGATATGCACTAAACTGTTACATGTTACCTAAAGGGAATAGAGACCTGAATATTCTACTTTTATGTACTTCCTAATTGATGCAAAAACACTGAACATCTATTACTTCAAAAATAATTTAAAAATGGATTTTTAGGAACCTAGGAATATGCACATATCTAGAAATAATAAGTACAAGGTTCATATTTATGCTATATCATGGTTAGTATTTCTTGATTTCCAAGATTTAGTAAGAGACTCAGTTCACTTTATCCAGTTGCATATTGCACTCAGAGCAGATGGATCAAGATAAACTCTCTTCAGAGAAAGATTCACTGAAAGCCAACTGTATTTTCTCAGTGAGATTCTCTTTCATTTCAAGTTACCTGTGAGAGCACTGGTAAAACAGTCGTTCAGTAAATATCAATACTGGTAAAATAAAGATCACTGGTTCAAACTTCACGTCGAGAATTGGGCAATCTTGCTTTTCCAACAACCAAACCAAGCTGAAGTGCTTCAAGTCTGAGCCCATAACATGGCTTTTTAAGTGACTGAAAATTATGTTTACCGAGTGTCACAACTCACTTTGCATGCATTTAGGCAGCAGTTACCTTGGTTATCAAGTTTTTCTACATGACTTTTCAAAATTCTCCACTGTTTTCTGATGCTATTTGTAAGCTGCTCTCTCACAGTTTCACAGGAGAGGTCCCACATACTCTCTCTGTTCAGTTCCCCGGCATCTTCCTCAATATCAGAGATAACCTACGAGAGACGAAAAGGAAAGACCAGTATCTTAAAGTGGCTTTAGATACTTAGGAAATGGTAATCAGATTGCTTGTCAGATGCTTATCAAAATCATTTCTGTATTGTATCTTAAACATATATGACCCAGTATTTAACAGAAATATCTTGACAAAAAGCAATTAATATTGAAGGTAAAAATTCCCCTATTCAGGCCTCTTCACATGTGAATTTGAATCAAAATTCAGTGAGTTAGCAACAAGAGTCATGGAGCTGTGTGAGGAAGACTTATTCACAAGTCTAATGTGTTAGATGCTTTAATATGTTAATTAATCCTCAAAAAATGTTGCAATGTGGGAAAACTCAGGCTTAGAGAATTAGAGTAATTTGCCCAATGTCACATAGCCAAGAGATAGAATTGAGAGGAAGTTAGATCAATTTGTTTCCAACCTTAGGCTGCTTAAATAAACATGTGAAATAATCTCTAAAGTAAAAGCAACTGTTAATCCTATTTTTCTCATATAATTTTCAAAAATAAAACTGGAGATTATTTTTCTTTGTATTCTACCAAACCATTAAATCATAGGACAACGTAGTAAACTTACTGACATACGATCATAGAGAGTCAAAGGAGGATAAAGAACACAGAGAAACAATACTAAACTCAATGTCATAATAATCTGCATCTACATAAAATGGTCTTAACTGAGTCTAAGAACTGTGTCAATAGTCTGAGGTCAACGATAAACTAGCAGAGGTCAAGGTCTCCCAAGCAGGGCGGTGTGGAAAGGCCCAGGATGTGGCTCACTGTGACTGGTCACTGCCAATCAATCTTCTAGAGCAATCTGCCAGTAACTCTTCCAAGGAGCTATACCCTCTCTTCTATATATTTTAAAAATACTATAAATCCATTATTTTTTTTAAAAATGAAGAAAATTGCTGCATTTTTCCAGATTAAGTGAAACTCTAAAACCAGAAAACAAAAAGAAAAAATTCATTTAGCTTGAATTTTGAGTACATATTTTGGCTACAATTAAGCAAGCAAAATAATAAATGAAACTCTGATGCTACCTAGGTATTCCAAGATTACATCTTATTCCTCTTGCTATAATGCTCCAAAAATTTTTTAAAAGGAAGAAATGGTTGAATTATGTAAATTTTAAGAAGAAAAAGCATCTAGAAAACCAGATCTCTTAAAAACAGAAAATATACTTAAGAGATTGTTTCTCCAAACCTATACATCTGAATTATAAAGAATTATACAGGATACTACCCACTGGCTGAGTAAAGGGGGAAAGGGGTGATTTAATTATCTGGGAAAGAGCTCCTTGATTTACTACCTACTTCTGCTAAAAGCCGGTAATGAGAGGGTAGTAAAGGTTGGGCCAAAAACTAAAGAAACCACAAGAGTAACAGAAACTATGCTAACCCTGGAGAGGTTATTAGTGAATGTTAAGAAATGACCAGAAGTGATAAACTTTGAGAGAAAAGGTTAACCAAATATAAGACATCAAGCAGGCCCTAAACTGTAGAATTTAAAAGAATATTTTTTTTTAAAGGAGAGAAAAAATGGTAAGAGGTAGGATGGGCTTATCAGTTGGACTGATCTGTGATATCATAAAATAAACACAGGTTTCCCCTGCAATCTGAAAGTAGTGGCGTAACGCAAAATTTCAAAAAGCGGGGGACACCGTAATCCTCAAATACAGGTTTAAAAACAAGTTCTGGTGACTTGCTGGTAATTAGCATTTTCCATCGACATTATTATTTTCAGATTTTAGTCACAAACGGGAATTTGCCTGAATCCAGAATTTAAACTTGTATTTAAATTAAAGCAATTAAGTTAAAAGAATTTTTCACCATTATGTGCCTTTTTTCAGACCTCTGCTCATATTATTCCCCCTTCGACAAATGCTTTCCCCATGCTGTCTACCTCAAAAACTCCTTTTTTAAGAGACAACTCAGATGTCACCTGCCTTCCTTGACTGCAATATTTGTTTTGTTTTATACATTGCACTACCCTATTATAGCTCTATAATAATTATAGAAGTAATTATTACTTCTCTACACACATGTTACTCTGAAAAAGTGCTGCTTGAGGGATGCAATGGACTGAATGCTGTGTTCCCTCACAGTTCCTATGTTGAAATCCTAGCCCCCAATGTGATGTACTAGGAGGTGGGGCCTTTGGGAGGTGACTGGGTCATGAGTGGAGCCCTCATGACCAGGGTGAGTGTCCTACAGAGCGAGCTCTCTGGCCCTCCCTCTGCCATGCAAAAACACAAGAAGTCAGCAACCTGAAACCAAGAAAAGGGCCCTCGCCAGACACCGAACCTGACAGCACCCAGATTTTGGACTTCCAGGCTCCAGAACTACAAGAAATAAATTTCTATTTATAAAATACCACTCGGTCTATGGTATTTAGTTATAGCAGCCCAAACAAAGACAAGGCAAAAAGCCAAAATATCTTTAGCTTTTTCTTTCCAGGGAGTAGAAAGAACATAATGTATACTCAGTAAATTTATGGACCAAATGAGTATTTGGTTATTAAAGTTAACAAAAGTTTCACTTTCTGAAATGTAGAGCCTGCTTAAGTACAAAATACTTAAAATATTTAAAGGCTATTTGGCACAGTGGTTAAAAGCATGAACTCTGGGGTAAAACATATTTGGATTCAAATTCTAGTTCTACCATGTGTGATACTGGGCTAACTACTGCGCCTCAGGTGCCTCCATCTACAAGATGGGGAATTACAGTATCACAAACATCACATTAAAATAAGAATAAAATGACAAAATGCTTATAAAAGTGCTTATCATAGTTTGTGGAACAGAGTTAAGTCCTCAGAAAGTCATCTCCCTCATTTTCCAGGACATGTCTGGTGGTCACAGTGACAGAGGGTAGCAGAGGAGGGAGTGTCCTTTCCAAAATATCAATAGTGTCCCCACTGAGGATACCTAGCTAGTGTTTCAATTGTTCTCATTTGCAATCTGAAGACTGTATTAGAGAGGAAAGAGCCACTTACAGTTCCTGTACTATCATCTGCTCTTTCTCTAGGTTTCTGCTTTTGGGGAGAAAGAAGAGAAATCATTTCCTTTTTCATTTGCTGAAGAACCTTCTTAAGTTCAGCATTTTCCATTAGGATTTGTTTCTGACGATATTCATAATCATTCAAGAGAATTTTATACATTTCATCTTCATTCCTGAGGAAGAAACTGTCAGTATGAAAATGCAGTCTAGAAAGAAAAGTCTGATGAAATTGATCAGTTTAAACTGGACCTTACCTGGCTTCACTTTTACCAGTCCTCCAAGAGCCTCTCTTTCCATCAGCTCTCCCCACATAATTTAAAACTTCCATGGCTGCAAACACGAACACACAAATTCTTACCATACATGTTTAATTGTTTAAAAACCTAATACACTATATAACACACCAGGGACATGTCAACCTGGTATAGAGATTAGGATTTGGGCTCAAACAGCCCAGATTTCAAATTAGAGTTCCATCTAACTAGTGTTTACAAGTACTGAGATCTTGGCAAGTTATTTAATTTCCAAGCCTGTTTCTTCATTGATACAGTGTAAATAATGAAGTACCTACCAGAGTTGTGAAGTGCAAAAGAAATGTTAAAGCATTTAGCACAGTAAGTACCTAATACATGTTATTTTGTTATCATTATTGATTTTATCTTCAGTGGTTGGCAAACTGAGACCTGTGGGCTGGCTGCCTGGTTTTGTAAATAGTCTTATTAGAAGACAGCCACATCATTTGTTTATATATCGTCTACGGCTACTTTTGCGCTACAATGGCAGAGATGAATAGCTGTGACAAGAGACCACAGACCCCCACAAACCTGAAAATATTTACTATTTGTACCTTTACAGAAAAAGTTTGCCAAACCCTGTATTGTCATCATCAGAAGAGTCAAGGCCCCGGCAGTATTAATACCTGTTCTGCCCCAAGTGGAAACGGAAGCACTTGGCATAACAAAGAAATAAGATGAGAGGAAGTTGTAATTGCAGAGCGAATAAAATCGTTATGAAACTAGCACTTCCAGTTGGGTTTGGACCAGGAAACAGCCACATTCCCCATAAAATAAGGGCTCTGTTACCAGAGTATAATTTTTAATAAATTTCTCTAACTAGGTGATACATTTTATACTTCTAGCATTATATCTTTTACTTTTATTTCCTTCATGAATGAACACAAGGTTAACCAACCTTAAAAACCAATGAGTTTAAAAAGTATTGCCTCAGAATACCTAAAGATTTTCCACGTTGTCTAATTGCTTATTACACTTTCATTTTTCAATAAAATACTCGAATAACTGCAGCATCTCTGCTGTATAGGATGACAGTGATGCAGCCAACACTGAACTGCTCACTGGTCAGAACCCACCATGTGACAGCCTGAAACATCTGCTCATCAGCTGCTGTATGCAACTCCAAGTTCAGTTTAGGAGATTGACTATATACTGTGGGTTACACGACAGCCTATTGCCCACTTGGAAACCACACTTCAATAAATAAATGCACAGGTTTCCTCTTCCCTGAATCTTATCAGGCCAGGAAAACTACCTGTGTAGCTTTACTACTGTGTGTAAGTAGGTCTACTTCTTAATCTAAATCTAAATCTATGCTATTTACTTGAAATTATGCACAGATTTGGATGAAATGCTCGTTGTAAGTTAATTTTCAAAAGAATACTAGGAAAAAAGTATACCTTAGACACAAATATAAGCATAACTTTCATAATCCATCCTTTTGACTAGCTGCTTCAAAAATGCATAGCTAACCTTATGTAAAAGAACTCCAATTGACATAAATGATTGGTCTGATGAATAATTTGCTGTAAGTTAATTCTAAAATCATACTTCTACTGACACTCAGAAACTGGTCCTCATGTTTAACATTATCAGTTCTTTGCGATGGAAGATTAGTGTGTCCTCGGGCTCAGCTTTTCTCTATGGATTACTCTTATACCTGTCATGTTAACAAAACAAAAAACCAAAACACTAATTCTTATACACAACTAATAAGCAAAGCGAAATTACTATTTTTCACTAACCAGTTGCCTCAACCAGTTTATATGACTAGATAGCAGCTAAAAACAATTGTACAAAGCATGAAAAGAACACTGCAGGAGTTACTGTGCTCAATCCTTTTACATTAATTTCTTAGCATAATATTATCTTATTTATTCCCTTTGTTCTGTCTTAGCCAGCTGCTTCTTACCTATTTTTTTATCCTTCTTATTCATAACAAGTTGATGTAGACGTTCCTTTAGTTTATTATATTCACGCTCTTTTCTCTTCATATCATGATTATATTGAGTAGCTCGACTTGCAATGATATTTTGTAATTTTTGTACCTGAAAAAAGAATTTCCATCAAATGGGTCCTTTAGGATTGATAAACCCAGTTAAAATTCACAAATTCAAAAAAGTCCTAGCATTCACTGTCCCATATATAGTTTTATATAATTCTAGGATTATTTTTCCTTCTCCATAACCACTAGAAATCACTCTTTAATATCATTTAAATGAATCACATCAACTTTTTAATTTTTTTAATTTATTTTTATTTTTTTTTAAGATTTTTTTTTTTTAATTGGGGAATGGGGGATAGGAACAGCGCTGGGGAATTGGGGGAAGGGGAACAGACAAGTTGCTGTCCTTTTGTTCTTTAGTCTAGTTGTGGAGGACGTTGCTTCACTGGCCCAACTTGGCACCATCATTGCGCTCTTCCCCTGCGAGGCAGATCAGTCGCCGGCTTCTGGACGGCTGCTCACGGCGGCTGCTGGCCGCCCAGGCTGGCTGAAGTTTTTATTTTTTAATTCTGAAAATTTCCACTCTTGCCAACTTTCTAAATTATCTTCTATACCTTTCACCGTACATAGAGACTCTTGATCATTTAGAAGCCAGAAGCTCTTATGGAAGTTTTAAAATGACTATAAAGCTTCATCTGAAACAAGTGGAATTCACCTGATCATTTGTAGTGACTTCCTTAAAGGGCTGACTTGAATCACTTTATTCCTTAATAATCTGTGACAAGGCAAATTAGCCAGGTTCATTTTTCTCTGATCATAAAACAGTTCTCAAGTTAAATAAGTACAAACAACAGACAGAACCTGGTTCAAACATTTGCTGAGTACCTACTACATGCCAAGTACTATTGGTTAATGTTTATTTCAACAACGGCTTCTCAGGCAGCCCTCGATAGGAAGTATGTTCTATTCTGTATAGACATCTTTAATATCTGCTAGAGACGATCATGTTTAACTTAATCCTTACTAAAGATAAACTATATTCAAACCATTTAGGTGTAATCAACAGACCACGTCAAAATTTTCTGAGAAATAACTCAAGGAGATGTATAAGCAACCTTGTAGTTTAGTTAAGATACTTCATTAACCACTTAGTAAATATAATCTAAATAACCAAATATGGTAAAACAAATCTGCCTAAATCACTACAAGGACCTTAAAGAAAGAAATATACTCCCATAAAAGTCTTTCCTTATAGTTAAAACAATATATACAACACTGAGAATATTATATTTTTACATTTATCACATGGTCAAGGATCAAACTGCAGAGCAATAAAAACATAATGGTTTTATCTTACATAAACTAAAACTAATAATTTCAAATGCATTAACTCTGTAAGTTCAAATACTAAGAACCACTAAAGCAGAAATGAGATTAAAATTATGTCTTTAGCCAAAGAAATGAGGGTTTTTTTGTTTTGTTTTGTTTTTAGCTGAGCCATCCTGCCACCTGTTGGCAGCTCAGCAGCTGCTCAGCTCGGGTTGGACTTGAACCGCTGTTGCTCAGAGCTCAAACTCTTGAGCGAGCTCTTAACCAACTGAGCCACTCGGCTGGCCCAGAAATGAGATTTTTAATGTGAATTGTTTTTTTAAACAATAATTCATGTGCCCAATTAGTCATTTAATTGCTTGACTGGATGAACAATGTCAATATTTAAGACAGTGCAAGAAGAGGCATGACAGATATTAAGTACGGGTACAAGAGAAAATAAAAGATCTACATTTAAAGCACCCCTGTGCCTGAGAAAAAATGACAGTGCGTGTGCGTCCAGGATGAACGGTACAGGACACGGTTATCACAAGCTATGGACTAATATACTAAGTCACTTGGATCCACTCGGGGGAGGGGACTGTGGGAAGGGTTCCTGACCTCTCAGTTAAACGTGATACAATACCATGCACAGAGGTCCACCATCTCATTTTGACACAGGACGAATAAGTTGCTCTTTGTTTTAAAGTGAAGTGGCTCTTATGGGCACCTCAAATTATTTTTTTTTTAAATTCACTTAAACTTGATCTGTAATAACTGACCACTTACCTCATCTTTCTCACTTTTTAGTAACTGATGCAAATTCCTGTTCTTGCATTGTAACTGTCTGTCTCTTTCCTGAAGCCCAATCATTTCTCTCCTGGAGGTTTCCAGCTGTTCCTAAAATGTTCACATGCTATTTTGATTAAAGTTAACACAGGATTCAAAGCAAATGAATTCTTAAAAAATTAGTAAAAACAAGTTACACATACAAGTTACCTAAAATTGAAGTTTAGAGGTATGCAAAATGTTTATTTAAAGGACTTATAAAGTTCTATACTATAAAGTTACACAATTTATCTACATTTAAATACAAAATTTAATTTACATATAACATTTTTTATGTATATACAAAATAGCCTCAAAGTGGATCCCCTGAAAGGGTCTTTACTTACGCCAGTGATGTTGCCACTGAACGTTTAAAAATTTTCTTTTTAATAATTTTAATCCTTCTTTACACACTCTTTGAGAAAGAACCAAAAGTGATATGAAGCTAAGTCTGAAGAATACTGTGACCAAGCAAAGTGGAGCACTTCAAGTCAGAAAAGGTGGGGAGACTTCAGCAGAAAACCAGTTCTCCCTTACAGGTGGTGAACTCTGAAAATTTTTCCCAGAGAAGAAAGGCAGCATTGCTGGAATGGGTACGGAATATGATGCTCACTTTCAATTAATTCCACACATCTCCAGAGGAACCATGCCAAGTTCTCCATGAAGCCACTGGGGTCTTTTTAAACCTTCTTTATAAAATATAAAGGCCACTCGAGGTATGACTACAAACAACAACTTACACTGTAAATTGTCTCTGTAACAATGGCTCTCAAGAAGATACAGAAATTTAGGAATATAACTTGGATAACTCTAAGGTTGTCAAGAATTTTGGGCACCCTCTTCTTTGGAGTGTTTAAAACTTCCTATTGTGCCAGACCATTTTGCATGGCTGAACTTAAAGGTCCTGGGGCCAGTTGACATGTCCGATAAATATCAAATCAGATTCACTGAGTCACTATCAACATTTTTCCTGAACTCATCATCCCTGAAGATCTGTACATCCCCTCCTACATTTCTTATCTCAGTAAACCACACCACCATCTTCAGTAATCGCACACCTGAATACCTTAAATTCATGACTCTCTTATTCCCCAAATTCAATTTTTCATAAAATTCTGCACATTCTACCTCCTAAAGCTTCTTCATATCTCACTCTTACTATCTCTATTGGCACTACCTGAGGTCAAGTCCAAAACCTCCCTGGCCTGGGTGACTGCTAAGGCATGCTAACAGCTGTCCTTCTCACCAGGCTTTCTAAGGCCCCAACCTCCACCCCAAACACAAATCTGTACCTTTCCCTATAATTTCTCCACTCTATTGCCAGATTGATATTTACATGATGGCTTCCTCCTGTTTACATTTCTCGATGCCTTGGGTTTCTGCACAATGCCTTTCATATCACCTGGGGTCTGGGTCCCAGCCTTACTGCTTATCACTCATCAGGCATCATATACTTCAGCCCCTATAGAGCTATTTACTGTTCCCTGAAAGTAAAATGCTCTCTCCCATATCCATGCTTTTATACAGGTTATATGCTCTGCCTAGAATATCTTTTCCAAACACCAGCAAATTTCTCTTCATTCCTCAAATCTCAGATCAAGTGTTACCTCTCTGTGAAGGCTTTCCTTTACCTTCCACACCAAGAACAATTAATGAAGCAAATAATTATGATTCAGTGTGTCTCTTTCCACTGACTACAACTACTTGCAAGCAGGGACTGGGTTACACTCATCTTTGAAACCCAATGCCTAGTACATAAATCTACTCAATAAATTTTGCTCAACAAATTGAATGAATCATATGCTAGATCTAGAAACTCTTCAAAGATAAATCAGCAACTTCTCCCACTGAACACACATTTCTGTTCACGGTTGACCCCAAATACCTGATTTTGGCCCAGGTCAAATCCCAAATTAGAAGGTATCCTGGAAAATACTCTGGGCTCTGGGTAGTCCTAATAAATGACAACTTCTTAGAAGAAAGGCTCAATAGCCTCAAATTACCAATATCATTATGTAATTATTCACCAGCTATAATACTTATAAGACACTTGGCCAAGGGTGCCCAGATATGAAAAGTTTTAAACCTTAGTCTAGGGTTTACACCTCTAGGTCAGTTTAATTCATAAGACTTATAGGTCTCTGATTAAAATGATAGTAGTATCTACAATTCACAGCCTTTTAATAAGCCTGGAGGGTACCACCTATCTGCTCTAGCCCACCACAGTTCCCCAGTCTGCCAAAATACAGTGTTCGATAATCTCTATCCCTAGGCATACAGGATATACAAAACGCTGAAAATTTTATTAAAGAGAAAACGCACTGTTATCACTGTATATGAACCAAGAAGACACCATAAAATAGCATTAGGCCATGATGGGCTGGTGGGGCAGGTGCTGCTGAGGGGCTAAGATGCTTCTCTAAATCAATCCTCAAACACTCCCAGTGTTCACATATAGGCCAGCCCCAGGCCACTTCTTTATTGTACTCCTTACTAAAGGGTTTTTAAATATTATATACAGAGATCTTACTATTCTCCAAGAGAGCTCAGAGATTCACGATATTGAGGTTTTTGGGTTTTTTTTAATTGTTGTTATATGTTCTTGGAGGAAGTGGGGTGGGGCGTGGATACAGAGGAAGAAAAATAAGTAGAGAGGGATGGACCAACAGGTGAAAAACTAAAAGAAAGCTGATTTTCTGTATGTAGATTCAAAGCTTTTATTTTCACAAATAAGGAAACTCAAAATAGAATAGTATATTTAGAAAAGTATTTGCCTTGAATTGATTGTATTACATCCTTCATAATATACAATCATAAATCCCTACCATACTGTGATTTTGAACACTTTCTTCTCTCCTCAAATATATATATATGTTTAATATATTATATATATATATGTATATATATATATATATATATATATATATATTCTTTTTTTTTTAAACATAAAGAAAAGAATGAAAGCAAAGAAGAAGCCACAATGAATGTTCTATATTTTAAGATAGCAGGTCAACGGCCCTGTGAAAAATATTTCCTTTGTTCAGAGAACCAAGCAAGTTTGCAAAAGCATTCTTATTCTTCTACGGTCTTCTCTAGAGTCCCAAAGACTTCTAAGAGTTAGAAGTGATCTAATCTGCTTCCATTATTGAGCTTTCGCAACTCTGGCATAGATACCCTCTAGAATATTTTTCTTGGAATTAACTGATGCAGCTTCTCACCATAAGACTTTTTTAAATTAAGCATCTACTTTATGAAGCAAGATTGAATGGGGCAGGGAAATTCTATTTTCCTTGGATAAAAATATTTCCTAATCTAACTTTCTACAGATTTCAACAAATCATTAAACAGTTCATTAAGTCAATATCATCAATATAGATCTCAGGTAGCAGTACAACAGATTTGCACAAACTACTGTAAGTCCACTTTGACTTACCAGTTAAAAAAGAAAACCTAAAACTTAAAAAAATTAACCCTAAAATGTGTTTGACAGCGCCAATGAAAATTTACAGTATCAAATTACATAATAATGGCATTGAAATACAGATTGACATGTAGTTTCTACCTTAAGTTTTGCATAGCAGTTCTGCAGATGGTCCATATCACTTCCCAGTTTCAGATTTTGTGTTTCCACATTTTCCTGAGCTAGAAGGTTCTTCCGCTGAAGTACAAGTAGCTCATTCATACAATTTAAAACAGCAACTATATTTAATTCTCTCTTTGTCTCTTTACCTTTGGACTCTTCATATAATGAAGGAAAACCGAAAGTAGTCAATTCCTGGTAGGAAAAAACATTTTCCTAAAAGTTGGTTACCAGACAACTTAGTAAAGAAACGAGATAGAAATCTTTTCTGAGAAAGAAAACTATACTGAGATAGTTAAGAAAATAGTAAATATCCCAAAATACAAAGAATTGAGAGAACTGGGCTCTTTTCGCCTCTGCTCTACAATCACTTAGAGCAAGGAACTCAGGTTTCTACCCCAGTAACATAAGGGTGAGGCTCCCAGTGGAGAAACCCCTGGGGTGATAGGAGGCCAAATGTTCCAGATAAAACATTTACCTTGTATCTAGATAGGTAGCCACCAAGGTTCTCTGCAGATCTAATATAGGTCCTAGACCAATACACAACAATATACTTGTACCTGACAAGCATTTTTCTCATAACTTTAATATGTCCCATTATATAACAAGATTTATGCTATTGCTCCTTACAAAAAAAAAATGTTACCTGATCAAGATATGAAATACTTTGTTCAATATTATCCTCTGTGCAGAAGGCACTGAAAAAACTGTGCACGTTTTTTGATAAAGGTATTGATGAACATAGCACTTGCTGTGAGTATAAACTTGATGGAGACATCTTTGTGTCTGAGGTATATTGAGATATATTTTTGCTTTCTGAAAGAATCAACAAAAGGGATTTATGTAAATAAGTTATAAAAATGCATGCAAAGGTAACAGTCTCTAAAACCAAAGATTTTGAATTATATAAATATTTTAAGTATTTTCAAATTAAGGCAAAGCTGGGTTTTGTATGAAAACTATATTATACTTTCTAAAATGATACAATTATAAAGTGGTGCTCTTAGGCATGTTATGCTACCTTAATTTACAGTGCTTTAGATTTATAAGCATTACAGGCAAAAATCACTTCTCTATGCACTCAAAGTTTATGTGATTAAAGGAATAAATCAGAGAAATGTATTAAAGTTGCTAATGAATTTATTTCAAATGCATAAAAATTTCCTCAAAAATAGTTAACAATCACGTAATTTATTATTTATTCAAAGTATTTAACCCCACTAATTATAGCTCAATTCTTAGCTCTCCCTGATAATTTTACTGAAGATGGAAATTAGATATTTTACAACTATTTATGTATCTCTCTAGTCACATCTTCAGTATTTGCAGTCATCATTTTATAGTTTCTTTGAAAACTTCAGCTTTACAATGACTGTGTTAGCTTACAATTATTTTAAACTCAGTTACCTGAAGACAGACCTGTATCTGTAATAGTCATCCAATCTCCCATAGCAGTTGCCAGAGCCAGGATACCTGAGGAACCAGTTCAGTAACGAAACATATGGCCCAGCTGCTGTTGTTCTTCTATGTAGGCATCTCCTTAAAAAGCAAATCACAGAATAACAGCATCTAATTAAAAATACGAAAGCAAATATAAAACTAATGCGTAACAATAGTTGTATGTGCACCAAAACAGAAGGCGTATGCATTATTTACTCTCATGTACACCCACATAAAACATGGCAGAACTCAATAATTTCTGTGGTTGTGCATGTGTGTGCAAGATCAAGGTTAAAGGATCAAGGTTAAAGGACCAAGGTTAAAGCATTCTCCAGTTGTACTCAGGTATTCATATTACTTCATATACAAAGTACATGGTACATGATTTGACTCATAATTTATATCTAAGGTACAGCACTATAGTAAGTAACATATATTTCTATTTTATATTCTTTAAAATATAATTTTTATTTATGTAGATAAGAAGATGAAAAAAATTCTTGGCCAGCATTCCCATGTTTTGCAGTGAAAAGCTACTGAAGCAGTTTCAGCAGGAAAGCAACATGCTCTCCTTTAGGCTTTAAAAAAGATCAGTGGCTACTCCACCCTCTGCAGATATTACAGGTGAACAGTTGCGGGGAGGCTGGGAGAAATCAGGCTATTGCAATAGCTCAGGCAAGACTGGTGTTACACGACAGCTCTAACAGTGGAAGCAGACAGGGAATACATTAGAGATTTTTTTTTTAATTAGGGTTCTAGAGACAGAACCTTCCGGACTTGCAGATGGACTGAAATACGGGCAAAAGAAAAATCACAGATGATTCCTAGGTCATATAGCAGCATACTATATATATTAATGCAAATGATGTTATGTGTCTAGTACATGTGATACTGTCACACAAGCATCCCCATAGAAGGTCATCAGTCTGGCACTGATCTTTACATGTTTCTACTCACGTGCCTTGGTAAGAGCACCCTGAACTAGTTTGTACTTCCCATTGCCCTTAAGTGGGTGCCTTCAGCAACAGGATGAGCAGGATGAAGGTTGAGTCTGCACCAAGGCAGACAATGATTTTACTTTTGGCTTTCAGAGATAGTAGGTATAAGTAAAACAAGATCCAAGGGATAATAAACTCATGTATTCTAAGGCAGCTCTGCTTTGGGTAAGTTACTTAACCTCTCCAAGCCCTAGTTTCCTCACTGGTAAATCACCATTATAATGGCTCTTACTTAATAGTTTCCCCTGAGGATTAAGTGAGATAATGCACAGAAAGTATTTAGCACCCTGCCTGGCATGTGGGACACATGGAATTAGTATCAGTTGTTATCATCATCATCATCATCATCATCATCATCATCATCGACATATAGATCTGACTTATTGGTATCAATGAGAGGTTTCTAAAACCTGTAACTAAATGCACTGTTGCTCGTAATAAAAACTAAACATAAATCCTTAGAAGATCTGGAGACAGATACCCTTAAAGAACACAGGCAGTGGGTCAATTTTTTGTAATTGCACGTTAGCGGTAGGGACTACATCAGAATACAGAGATAGGCACCTTTCCAAGTCCTTTTTTAAAAGATGTTTGTAAATAAGACACAGTAGAGCTTTAAGGGCCTTTTCTCCCCATACAGAAACATCCTCAAATGCTAAAATGCGTCTACTACATATCCATTCTTTAAAATTATAATTTAAGTCAGTTACTCTTTCTCTGTGAATTTAGCTCTCCAGTGTCTACAGGTTTAAACTTTGAATTGCTGCCTGATTAATTTTAAAAACAAACAAACACCTGCAATATATTCAGTTAAATGTTCACAACGAAAACAAAAACTCCATTTTGAAGTGCTATGAACCAAAGAATTTACTAACAGTGCATGATTTCACTAAATCTAGAAGTTTCTAAGTCCTCTTCTTTACAATGATGCAACTAATTATATACTCCAGGGCCTGTGATAAAAGTTAACCATCCAGTTTTTCCAAGAAAGGAGACTTAAGGCTTAATAAATATACATCCCAAACCCAAGAGACTAATTTAAGAAAAAAGGTAACAGAAACATCTCTGCTTTGCACAAATCTAACAGTATCACAAGTTCATTTCAATTTGAAAGCCTCAAAAGCAGCCAAGAACTCCATTAAAACCTGGTGCTGGGCTGGCCGAGTGGCTAAGTTGGTTAAGAGCTCACTCAAGATCAAGAGTGCGAGCTCTGAGCAACAGGGTCACTAGTTCAATTCCCGGCCTGAGCTGAGCTGCCAACAGGTTGCAGGATGGCTCAGCTAAAAAAACAAAAGCAAAAACAAAAACCTGGCGCTGAAATCTAGAATTAAGCTCCATATTTTATATGTATAACACATAATATGTATTAATCAAGCCATAGCAAACCATTATTTAGTGGACATGATTATCCATGACAAGTTATATAAGAGTGAATTTTATTAGCAAAACTTGAAGATTAAAGAGTTTAAACACCTTTAAATGTCATTTCATTCATCTAAGATTGTTAGGGAATAATCTTGAAATAAATTAAAGCAAATAAAAACCTATACAGTATTCCATAAATAAGAATTCCTTCCCCTAGTCTCTATATCAGAGAGACATAGTTTTGGTCCTTACTGTTGGATAATTTGTATACAGGCTCTAATAAACCCCTTGTTCCAAGTATTTCTTTGTGTCCATTTTAATAAGTAAGTCTTCATAATAGAAAATCTTACTAATTGCAGTAAAATAGCAATCATTGCAGTGTAAATGTTATCTTACTATTTCTGAAGAACTGGCTCCCCTCTATGCTGCTATGGGCCCCAAAGTACCAACGCTATATAGTCAATGTAAAACAAGCAAGTTGTTTGTTCTGGTCTGTTCTTGGTAAAATGCTTTTGCAGTACATAATCATCTGGCATTTTCTAGGTTAGAATCCTGATAGAAAATTGGGAAGCGGTGACACATTTAAAGTTAACATAACTGTACCTTTTCTGAAAGAAAATGAAGATTTTAGTATAGTTTATCAATCTATCATTCTTCATGTCAAAGTATTTTCTTTCATATATATTTTACCTGTATCAGAGATAGAAAACTTGGGCTCAGGGAAGTCAACAGTAATACCCGAGTCACATTTCTAACTGGTTGTAAAGCCAGGACACAAATCTCAGTCTTTGAAACTGTGCTCTGTTTGCTCTATCACCAGTCAACCCTGAATAATATATATGTAACATATATTATTATATATAATAATGTATATATATACCTCACATATGTTAAAAATAGAATAAGTATTTCCGTGAAGTATCTTTAAAAAGACTGAGTTTCCATAATTCATTTTATTTATTTATTTATTTATTTTTTTTTTAGCTGAGCCATCCTGCTACCTGTTGGCAGCTCAGCAGCTTCCATAATTCATTTTAAATTATTACGTTCAGAGTACCCAATTCTTAAAGGAACTTATTTATTACTTAAATTGAGGCACACATAAACTTCTCTGCTATGCCACGAACAGTAGACTTATTCTATTTATAAACACTTTGCTTTGGAAAGGTATAAAAACAATTCCCACAAATGAGATCAGTTCCATAGACAGTTTAACGAGGGTGGAATTAAATAACTCATTTTACCATATTCTATCTTAGCGTAAATATTAAGACAACATCAAAAGTAGGTAGATCTTTAGCTACAACATTTGTGGTTCAGATTAATTACTACTGGTTTTTTTTTTTTTTGAACAAGTCAAACAAGTTTATATAAAGCTCATGGATACATACACGTGTGGCAAAGGTATAAAATCATTCCGTAACAGGCAATGGGATAAAGAAGAAGGCACTTCAATTATCTGCAATGTTTTACTTCTTTAAAAAAAAAAAATCCAGTAATCTGTCTTAACTCCTAACTATGATTTATCTGTTGATTTTTTACTACTGTTTTTTTCCATTAGAAAAGTTCCCTGGTTGGTTTTTCCTCTTCCTCTTCTAAAGACTCAGGGGTTCTCTACATACATTAATCACTTGTAAGAATTTGGGAGAGGCAGCCTCTAAGATAGCCCTCTATTATTCCTGCTTCCCGCTGTACATACCTTTGGGTTATTCTGCTCCTTAAGAGTGCACTGGGTTTAGGAACTAGCTTCTAACAAATAGAATACAGCAGAAGTGATGGGATTTCACTTTCAAACTTAGATCATAAACAGGCTGTAGCTTCTGTTTGGGGTTGATTCTCACTTGCTGTCCCTTGGGTCCCTCTTTTTGGGGAAAGCAAGCTATCATGTTGTGAGCAGCCCCACGAGAGGCCAAGGTGGCAAGGAACTGATATCACCAGTCAACAGCCAGTGAGGAGGCCCTGAGGCCTGCCAAGAGCCATATGGATGAGGACGGAAGTAGATCCTCCCCGTCAAGCCCTGAGATGACGGCAACCTTGGCCAACACCTTGAAAGCAGCCAGTGAGGGACCCTGAGCCAGAGGTACCAAGCTAGGCCATGCCCAGGTTCCTGATCAACTGGAAGATAAATGCTTGGTTTTAAGCTGCTAAATTTTAGAGTAATTTGTTATGCAGCAATAGATAATTAATACAAATGTGTGTGTGTGTGTATTTCTTAATTCCTTCCATAATTTACATGTCCTCTGCTGAAACATAACTAAAGTGATACCATACAGTACAAAAGCAACTAATTAGGGCCAGCCGAGTGGCGCGTTGGTTAAGAGCTGGCTTGGGATGCCAGAGGGCCCCGGTTTGGATCCCACATATGAGGGCCAGTGACACTGCCCTCTACAGCTAAGATGCTGAACAACAGCTCGACCTGGAGCTGGGCTGCCAAGAGTCGCCAGCGACGGCGTAGGCTGCAGTCCCTGTGGCAATGGGTTGCCATGGGCTACCGTATGTGGCCAGCAGCCACAGTGAGCGGCCGTCCAGAAGCCGGCAACTGATCTGCCTCGCCCGGGAAGAGCGCAATGATGGTGCCAGCTTGGGCCAGTGAAGCAACATCCTCGCAACCAGACTGAAGAACAAAACAACAGCAACTTGTTTGTTCCCCTCCCCCAATTTACCCAATAAAATCTTAAAAAAAAAAAAAGCAACTAATTAGGTTTATGACAATGATATCATCCAGTATTACAATTA